CAAAATATATAATTAAAATTCCAGTCAAGTTTCAGCAAGATTTATAAATACATTTATCTAAAGCTAATATTCCTGAATTTGGGATGCTGTTACGAACTTGTTACTTTGGCATTAATATTTGCATTGTTTCCTAGTATTTTTATCTGTCTGCATGTTCACCCAAGCCCCTTGAGAGCAGAGGCATGCACTGGCTGGCCAAACTACTGCTACAAGTTACAGCTCTGAACTATGGATCCTAAATCAGTTTTGTATAAGAATCACCCATAGGACTTGAAAAACACATATTCTTGAGTCCTGCCTCAGGTTTTTGGAATTAGGATCCCCGATGTTTAGAAATCCGTGTGTATAAAAAGATCTATGGGCGTTTCTGATGCACAGATAGGTTTCAGGAAAACAAACTAGAACGGTGGTTTTAGAACTACATTCTGAAGAGTCTTAAAAGTTTCAGAAGTATCTTTGGGTTTCTTGATCCGTTTCAGCCAAGAATAATGCCATTTTTATCTATTTTGTGTATCTATTCTGCTTCTTAAAATCTGAAAACCATAAGACCAGACAGAGTAAAATGAACTAACCCATGTAAGAATTAAAGCCATAATTTTGGCATCAAAACTGACCTAATCCAAAAATAAAAGAAACTATAGAGATAAAAAGACCAGGATTGCTGGACATAGACTGTTCATTAATGACAAAAGGGAAACCTTATAAAAGCAGTACTACAATTCATATACTTTTATTTATTGCAACCTAAAAGAACTTATTCAATATATGACTAAATTGCATGATGAAATTCCAAATGGAAAAAACACAAATACACATATATATTAATTGCATATACTTCTGCACATACGTAGAAAAAACTACCTTATCCTACACTTGCAAGTAAAAATACAAAATATATCTAAATAAATCCAAAGCTTTGTCAACCTTGCCTTCTACAATCCTTATTTTGCCATCTCTATCTCTGTCTAGCAGACAGACTGGGGCAGGGAAAGCAGCAGTAGATCTAGGAAGGCGTTCTCCTTGAGGAAATGCTCACCCCAGGAGAAACATGATCAGAATGAACATCTGTCTACTGCCTCCTCATAAGCATAAAGTTTGGATGCTCTGAATGCCTTTTAGGTGCTCCCCTAATCTACTCTAACCCAGAAAATTATGTTGTGTTGTGGAGGAAAGCAGGGAAAAATGCTAGTTTCCTCCTGCCATCCTGTCTTTGGATATTCCCCCACAGGATTGGGTTTATATATTCTGGCCTTTTGAAATTCTCCATTTCAATCACCCTACTAATAACAACAAATGACCACTGGTAACTAGGTTTGAGACAGCCAATCCTTCATGTAGATACAGACTCAAGGGACTGTTTCATCAAATGAAACAGCATATTTTTACTCACCTGTCTGAATACACATACTGAGCAGAAGATGGACCGAGTAAGAAGCCAGGAGAGCAACTATCAGCAGCAGGAAACTAAAATATAAAAGAACACATAGTCAAACCTCCCAAAAAGTTTCTCTATTTTATGGTGTCTCATTACAAAACAAATTTCTTCACAGTCAAATGTGCATGAGGATTGTCTCTGAGTAGTTGAACTATGGCCATGAAAGAAATTACGAAGATATTAATACTTTTCTACTTTTTAGTATTTATCGAATTTTATTTAAATGAAAATGTACTGTTTTTAAAATCAAAAAAGAAATAAAAAAGAAACAAACTTTATTTAAAATGCAAGCAAACTTCCTCATTTTGTATTCTTGTCTGCTGACTGCTGGTTCAGCCATTCGACGATCTCGTAAAATTTCTCTTTTATGACTGTTTTTTCCTATTTTAAGTCTAAACAGAAGTTTCAGTTATGAAATCTATCTTCTCCTTTTCCCTTCCCTTCCTCCTTCCCCTTCCAGTGATATGGACCTCCTTACCATAACTTCATCTTTAATACTAAGGCTGTATTTCCTAGTATCTATTTAACACATATATTCTCTCCAAACCAAACCAAACAATACAGTTAACACACTTGTAATGACACAATTTGAAAAACGTGCAAACAATATAATGAATGATTGGAGTCTTCTCACCAACAGTGTGAAAAGAAACAATATGCATAATTTCCAACTTATCCTCAGGAAAGTACTGGCAGCACAAATTTCTAGCTATAAAGCTGGCCCCAGTGGATTGCCCCAAGAGTTGAAGAAATTCTATCTCTGTGGTCCAGTTAATACTTGTTAATTAGCAAAAATGAGAGGTGAGAGTACACTTCACTAAACTGACATCAGAGACCTCACAAAGTAGCAATTTCTCATCACCAAAAGGGGCAGTTGATATGATTCAGTGCACACACATTCAGTGGTATACATCTCTATGTAAGACCCTGGTGTATACAACATGATTTTTCAAAAAGAAACAAAAAGTAAGTGCTCTATGTCTTCCTTAAAGTGTCACATACAGTTTTTAGGTTTTAAAAACAACGAAAGTTTGTGAATACATACAATAAAAGCAAGTCGGGTTACTTAAAAATTGGTGTGCTTATCAAAAAATTTATAATAAAAGTAGGAAATAGAGCTAAATGAGACTCTACATATTTTAAATTTCTTAGTAAAAGATGTCTGCTTCTACTAACAGAATAAACAAAACAAACTTATTTATTCATTCTATTAGTCATGGTGCTAGATGCTAAGGATAAGGTCCAGTTCTGAAGGATTTCACAGTTCAGTGGGGAGATTAACTTGCAAACAAATTATAACACATTATAATAACAGAATAAATATACAAAGTATTATGGGAGCACAGAAAAGCCAGGACTGTCTTCTATTCGGGGCAAAACTACCTTATGAGCTGAGTCTTGAAAGAGGAAAAACAGGCACAGAACACATGCCTGACCTCAGAAAGTGAAATAAGACTACTTAACAATAGAAGGAGAGGAGAAGATGGAGAGGAATGAAATGATTATGTGCTTTATTTGCACTTATAAAATTGCTATTTATAAGCACTCTGCATGGCTGATAAGCTTAACACAATGAATAAGCCACTTCTTTTATTTTTTTAA